CATCCTAGGTAAACTGAAACAACATGTATTTTTTTACACATACGTAAAGCTGATATTATGGACAAATGGAAATATTTTCATTAAAATTTATAAGCCTTTCTTGCTTCCCTAAATTTTCAATTTTATTCCATCAATATGAAAGTCATTTAAAATTTGCCTAGCATACAGCATCTTTGTTATTTTATTATTCTATGTATATTTCAACTTGATCCATGTTGTATGTCAGTTTCCAGGAAACAGATTCTGAGATTTATGGGCAGAATGGAGAGTAAAGGAGGTGGATAGGACAGAGGAGGTATTGGACTGTGAGGTAGATGCAACAGAGGCTTCAGGTGATCTTATGGGAGCTCTGGAACTAGGATGGCCCTTCTAAGTTGTTCCAATTGAAGCAAGGGAGGTCAAGACTTTGTATCCTCCTTTGATGAGCCATTGAATGGAGGCTGCCCCCAGGAGCAGCTTTGTGGCTGAAGGCAGGTCCTGGAGAGGACTCAGCTGTGAGCCATCAGTAGCCAACACTCCCAGCCACTGGAGAGCGAATTGCTAGGTCCTAGAGGGGAACGTGAGTAGGGCACCTAGTTCTAATATTTAAGTATTAGGGGCCAGGTATGGGGCTGATAATACCTTTATACATGTAATCACTCAATGTTTTGCTTTATTGTCACAGATACTGAGTTGTTCGTTTTAGAATCTATATTTTTAACTACTTTTCAATGTGATAAATGTTCGTTACTCTTTGAAAATGCATGATGCAAGTCCATATTCTGATGAATTCTATAGAATCTCTATACACATGACTTAAAGATACCAGGCAGGGTACTTCCAAGGGCCCATGGTTTTGTTGTAGAACTGGAACCCTTGCCCACCCAAGTAAGAACTAAGTGGTGGGCGCCTGGGTGGCTCAGTTCGTTAAGCGGCTGCCTTCGGCTCAGGTCATGATCCTGGAGTCCCTGGATCGAGTCCCGCATCGGGCTCCCTGCTCGGCAGGGAGTCTGCTTCTCCCTCTGACCCTCCCCCCTCTCATGTGCTCTCTCTCTCATTCTCTCTCTCTCAAATAAATAAATAAAATCTTAAAAAAAAAAAAAAAAGAACTAAGTGGTAATCCCTCAAATCTTAGGCTCTTTTATTTTTTTTTTTAAAGATTTTATTTATTTATTTGAGAGAGAGTACAAGCAGGGGGAGGGGCAGAGGGAGAAGCAGGCTCCCGCCTGACACAGGGCTCCATCCTAGGACCCTGGGATCATGACCTGAGCCGAAGGCAGATGCTTAACCAACTGAGCCACCCAGGCGCTCCAAACCTTAGGCTCTTTTAGACCAGGGATAGTGAAACCGCTGCACTCAAGAAACCACTATCCTTAGCACTCCTTCCTCTCAGCTTCTTAGCCACCCCAGCAGCCTATTGGCCCAGTCCATTGCAATTGGCAGGTGTGATAAATCCTGCTTAGCATATGTCTTTAATCAGTTTGGGCTGCTATAACAGAGTATCATAGACTGGGTGGCTTAAGCAATAAACATTTATTTCTCATAGTTCTGGAGCCTGGAGGTTTGAGATTAGGGTGACAGCATGGTCGGTTCTTAGTGAGGGCCCTTTTCCCGGTTTACAGGTGTTTGCTTTCTTGTTGTATCCTCACATGGCATAGAGGGAAAAGGACACAGGAAGAGGGAGGGTGGGCAAGCACATGTATGCCATGCCACCAGCCAATCCCAGCAGGACTCCACCCCCGTGAACTCATCCAAACCCAATTAACTCCCAAAAGCCACACCTTCAAATACTATCACATTGGGGGTGAGAACCTTAACACATGAATTTTGAGGGGACACAAACGTTCAGTCCATAAGAGCACCCTCATTTAGACCTTGGGCTAGCTGAACTTACAACTCACCTTCTTAACCTCTTTAGCTATGTCTCTTAGTTTTGACCTCTTTGGGCACGAATTACCCCCTATTCCTACTTTTAAAATAAGAGACTTTTGAACCCATTCCCATAGGTAGAATCCTGGGATTTGCTCATTTGCAGGCCTGTGTGGACATGCAGGTTGAATTTCCCCCCAGCTGGTCCAATTATAGGCAGATCTCGTGCTGGGTCTCCACCATTCTTGATCTCCCTACCAACACTTCTAATTAGTCAGCTGACTCCGCATTTGAGCTGAGCTGTAAATGGATTTCAAGCAGAAATCACAAATGGCATCTCAAGGGCTCGATCTGGTAGACAGCTGAATTTTGTTTGCCTGTACCATGTTTTTAAAAATTTAGCCCATATTTAACCATCTAGAGATTTCACCCCCAATAAAATCCATATTTCTCTTCTCTTTAAAAAAAAAAAATCAGACAATCCAGCCTTGCAAGGAAGCATTTCTACATGGCAACACCTGGCTCAAGCTGAATCAGTCACCACAGGCCCACCACTCACTATTGTAGTATACCTGCTCCCTTCCCTCATTTATGATGCCTGCCTGGATTCCATAGTTTAATACCCCTAGTTTAGGCTAGACTTCCTTCCAAGTGGTACTTGGCAGCCAGTGCAAGTTATTGGCGGAAAAGAAGGGCCAAAAGCATGATGCAGTCAGGACTGAAATGAAGAAAATCAGACTCAGGGTTTTCAGTAACATTATGTTTCCTGATGCAGAGAAATTAGGCTTGCCTCCTTTATTGATTTCACAGAACAGATGACATTTTATCTGTAGAATGCCGCAGTGGTTTTTGGACAAAGACGGTTCAGAGTGATTTGGTAGCAACCTCTGCCACTTGTTACTTATCTTTTGCTAAGGAGAAACTCAGGAAAGTTTGGAAAATTCTGGAACATGTTTTCTCATCCTGGATTATGGTACTGTCAAGTGAAATGTGAGATGTTCTTCCAAAAAGAACTCTGTTGGGATGCCTGGGTGGCTCAGTTAAGCATCCGACTCTTGATTTCGGCTCAGGTCATGATCTCAGGTTGTGGGATGGGGCCCATGTTGGGCTCTGCACTGAGCATGGAGCCTGCTTAAGGTTCTCTCTCCGTCTCCCTCTGCCCCTCTCCAGTGCTCACTAGCTCGCTTGCTCTCAAAAAAGAAGAGTCTTTTGTTTAACACAAGGAACAACATAACTGTTTTCCTCCATAGACTGGCAAGGCTTGCTGATAGGAACTCAGGGCAACCTGCCGCAGGTAGACATTTGGTTATTTTAAGGCTAACAAAGGATGAAGAGAACACAGAAAGAAAGTAAAAATAGATTATTCCAGAGTAGCAGAAATACTAATGGTGGCAGATGAATACGGTTTTCCCAGTAAAATGTGAGAACTATTACCTGGTTTACACTCGCCTTACCAATTTTAAAAAGCAAAATACTTCCATCTGAGCCTTAGCAATTTTAAAACCCAAAATATCTTCATCCAGATCTAGGTTAAGTATGCTTTCAAATCAGTTATAATGTTTTCCTGCTTTAAAAAAAAAGGTTTAAACTAAAGAGGTATATTGGAGAGGGGTGTGTCTTTGCAGGGCTGGGGAGGAAGGAGCTGATACATTTGCAGACTTCATTATACTGAGTACTCTGTTCAGAGGGTGGTTCCATCTCTACTTCCCTGCCCCCACCGCATGCCTTCCCTTGGTACATTACTTCCTGTAACATACATACTTCTTAATGTAATGGTTTCATTAGTCTTTTATAGCTTTTCCATAGCTAGAACAGGCCAGAGCAGTGATGAATGGTTTATCAGGAAAGCAGCTCAAGGGTAGGACTTCATAGATATTGTGACAGCACCTTAATCAGGAAATCCAAAAGAATGTTGGTGGGAGGGGAGAGGAAGGACATTTGGATCACCAGAGAATTTCTTCCCCTGGGTCTCCTGACTCAGAAACATTAAAAAATCTAATGCAGCTTTATTCTCCATCCTCCTTTAAGCCTTAAATGTCTGCCTTTTGGGCATGGACTGTAATAGACTAGGGCTTTAGGACCAGTTTCTCTGAGAAGCAGCCGGTGTTCAAGAAGGGCCCTTGACACCATTCTGACTTAATGCTAGACACATCTGCAGCTACTTGGACAAAATTGACATTGTCTGGAGTGCAAAGCAATCGCCTAGTGCAGCATTAGGGAGCATTTACTCTTGAGCCGTGCTACCAGACAGCAAATCTTGACCTTTAGGAGTTCAGAGATTAGATTTCGTTGCTGCAGGCGTTGAAGATATTGTTAGGAATTTGTTGCTATTCAAAGCAGATTTCAGGGGTTACCTACGGGTTTAATTCATCGCATCAATCATTTTTTGGAAAGTTCTTTTAAAGCCAAGATAGCTTCAAATAAAAACTAGGATTACTTTTACATTGATTGTCAGTAGTTGGTGAGGAGCAAAGGGGGAACACTCTTGAGATGCTGTTAAAGTTTTCGTATTTCTTCCTTCTCTGGCAGGTGTTCTGTGGTATTGGAGAGAAAAGGTATGTTTCTTCAATAGGCATGTGAGGCAGTTGCTGCAGGAACAGGCAGGAAATGAGAATAAGCATTTGACTCCCTCTGGTGTGGATTTCTGAAGCCCTTTAACACATTCAGAGCACAGATCTCCTCCAGGTTATCTCAAAGTGCACCGTTTAAAAAAAGACCTGTTTAAGCCAACAGGGGTTAAATGGGGCTTATTTCTTTGAGCTAGCCCATTTAGGGACCCAGTCTCCTCCTCCATTTGTGTATGGGTGTGTATCTGTATATGCACATATGGGGCGTGTATGTGTGTGTGTGTGTGTGCACATATAGGCAGCTTTCTTATCTGGAGGTCAGTTTCCCAGCTCCCTCAGCCCTCTTGATCCCAGGGCTGCCGAGAAAAGATTTCTGAGGGTCTCTGGAAAGGAAGTACCACACAGTGTCTGGACTCAAGCCGTGTACTTTCTTTCTTTGAGCAGACTTTTATTTTATCCTTATTGATTTTTATTTGCTATGCAAGTCCTATTAAGCTCTTTTACTCAGCTCACCAATCCATAGCAGATTAAACATCTTGAAGAAAATGTATCTCCACTGTTTCTCTTCACATCTCCAAATATGCTTCTTATTTCTCTAAGAGGGAGTTTGCCCTAGATAATCCTATAGCCCTGATTTTATTGCAACTGGAAAGTACTAAGGATTGTTTTTTAAGGCAGGTACAATAACAGCAAAAGAAACAACTAGAACCGAGGAAGGGAGAGGATGTGCACACATATTAACGCAGGGAGAGAGCTGTCATCCCACAATATGATAATGGGGACCTGAGACGTCAATGAAAGTTTACACGCAGGTCAGTATATTTAGTTTAAGAAACCAGGATAATGGATAATTATTGTAAAATGTGTTTTAGAAAAATTTTTATTCAACATTGTCAACATTTAAAAGTTCAATGCTGGAAAGAAGAATCTTCATTGTCAAGATAAAGCACATCTTTGGAACAGGCTGTTGCTTGAGACTGCTGAAGATGAGAGACCCTTTTATGGCAGATGCATGTCCAGGGAACAATAGGCGTTGTTGCTGACGCTCAACATTGTGTGTGTGTGAGGGGCCACTCTGCAAACTTCAATGGCAAAATAAAAAGGAACCCTACACTCTTCTCTTCCATTCAAGTGAAAGGTGCTATTGCCAGGTCATTCTCTCTCTCATTTGCAGAAGAGTTTCTTTGTGCCAAGCAAAACACCCCATGAGGAAGGCATTATTGCCCATTGGGCAGAGAGAAAAACTGAAGCTCGCAGAGTTAGATAACTTGCCTGAGGGAACACAACCACCAAAGCACATTCTGGGATTCAGACTCACTTTGTCGATTTAAAGGTTTATTCTGGCTCCCACACAAATGAGTAAACTGAGGCCCATACAGCGAAATGGTCTTGAACAAGTTGCAGCAGATGACCGGAAGAAATATTTCATTCTCAGTGCACTGGCCTCCTATTAAACCATACTTTCATTTCTCTCTGTGAGTTACATATGTGTTAATATCCACTGTGAATTCGTAATTTGCCAGGTATAAATACACATGCACACACCATACACACATTACAAAGAATACTTACTAATTGCCTTTGCTCTCATAGAAATACACCCATATGTGCATTACAAAATACAGCTGAGCATCCCTACCCAGGGTCAAAACCAGCCTGGTATAGAGTCATGGATTCCTCTATCTGCTGAGTCTCCTAGAATCCATGGATAAGGATTCAGTGTATTTACAAGAAATACAGCCACACCACTGCTGGAGAAGTAATTGGGCCAAGCACTATCCTCAGGACATGAGACATTAATGAATGGGTCGATTTGGATTTGTTTATTTATTTTATTTTATTTATTTATTTTTTAAAGATTTTATTTATTTATTTGAGAGAGAGAATGAGAGAGAGAGAGCATGAGAGGGGGGAGGGTCAGAGGGAGAAGCAGACTCCCTGCCGAGCAGGGAGCCCGATGCGGGACTCGATCCTGGGACTCCAGGATCATGACCTGAGCCGAAGGCAGTCGCTTAACCAACTGAGCCACCCAGGCGCCCTGTTTATTTATTTAAAAAAAATCTTTTATTGTAAAGGCAATTCATCTTTATTGCAGCAAATTGAAGTACCAGTAAGCAAAATGCAATAATAAAATTCACCCACGGTTCACCAACTAGAAATAACAAAAGCAAACATGTTGGGGAATATTCTCCCCTATATAAACCTGTATTGTTTATGGAAGGATCATAGTGTATATTCCATTTTGTAATCAGCCTGTTTCACTTAAAAAATATTGTGGCCATGTCATTAAATATTCTACTATTTCATTTTCTTTGGCTGCATAACTTATTGAATGGATGTCTCTTTGGCTATGTTTATTTAATTTAATCACTAATCTAATGGGCCTTTGTTGAAACTGCAGCCAGATAAATGGAGGTCTTTAAATACTACTGCCCAAAACAATGTCCTCGGGCACTGTCCTCCCTCCAGGTATTACTAAATGGGAAATGAAAGCTGCAGGCCACATCCCTTCAGATCCTAACACCATCCGAGAGAATGCGTGTGACCTCTGCAGCAAGCCCTGGGCCGTGGTAAGTGCCAGGACTGGGAATTCGCGCCCTCCTCAGTCATGCAGCACCCAGTCCTCATGGTGTAGAGCATTTAGGGTTCTGCGGTGCTTCCTCCTCTCATATAACTGACCCCACTGGATGTGGGTCATTCTAAATCTCCTTAGGGAAATGGGGCACCTGAGGCCCAAGAAGCTTGATGACTTGGCCACTGGGCACCCCGGCAGTGAGGCTCAGAGCCAGATTCTGAACCCTGTCTTTTAGATTCTCAATTCACTGGGATTTCTATTGTAATGCGATGCTGTGAGGAGAAAAAGGAAGGATGGGAGAGAGGGAGGAAGGAAGAGAAGAACAAAACAGAAAAGCTTAAGAAAAAAAAAAAGAGGCTAAAAAGGTAGGGGCCCTAGTATTCTGGGGGCAGGCAGGGAGGACAGGGGACATCCCCAGTCCATCCTGCATGCACCTGTCTGCTTCTCTCCCAACAAGATTACAGAGGAATGGAGATGAGCAGCTTTCTTGGCATTAGCTTCAGACTCCGAGGTCTCAAAAGACAAAGCCATTTCTCTTCGTGCTTTTTCAGTCACCGGATCATCAAGCACATTTGCTTATGGCTCTCTCGCCTCACCTCCCTCCACTATCCTCCCCCTGCAGGGCGGGGAAGGGCCCACTATGGGGTGACACCTGGCCCTGGGATTACAGCTGAAGGCCCTTGGCCTGAGGAGGCGAGTGGGGAGGTCTGTCTTCACACATCAGAGGGGCCGGCCTGAGCATTAGACCTGAGCTCTGAGGCCTCCGAGGGCAGTCACAGGGCCACAGGTGAAAGGTTCAAGGACAGCAATTTCTCCCCATGCTCAGGAGGAATTAGAATCAGCCCCTTGGCAAGCAGTGGGGGCCACAGACAGGGAAAAGTGAGCCAACTTGGCAATTTATATCTGAGTTTGTATCTCACTCTTCTTAGCCGCGGGCCATGTGAAAGTCATACGCTATCGCTGACTTCAGTCTCCTCGTCTGTAGAAAGGAGGGGGACATCGAGGTAAGTGGTTATAAGGGCATGAAATAATATAAACAGTGTATATATATGCATAAAGTGGCGGGCATATATGAGGAACTGAACAGATGATGGCTTCCGTGTTCCCTGCACCTGGAGGTTACATCAGAGGATGTATGAAAACCACATGGGTTATTTGTTCACCTGAAACTGGGAGTCTGTGATTTTGTGATTTTGTCTGTGATGAAACTGCTTGCATGTGTGGGGTGGGGAGATGTGCTAATAAGGTAAACAAAGCTCCAAGGAAAAAGCTGATACTTTGAATAATGATTTCTCTAAGTCTCTTTGGCATGTGAATGGGATAGGCTATGTTTCTCTAAAGCAGTGGCCACACTTTGGCTAGGGAGGCCTCACCAGCCCCTCCAGAGTGCCTTCCATGTCTCCCAAGACAACCGAAAGAAATACACAGTCTAAGCACGAATTGCTTGCTTGTGGCAGAAATTCAACATCAACACAAGTCACTTCCCTGCTGCTCACCCCAGTCCCTAAGCTGCTCCCTGGTAGAAAAGTGGGAGCTGCTTTGCCCTCCAACTTGGTGGACTTTTTTAATATGGTAACACCCTAAAGATAAAAATGCATGCTCTGTTCTAGTCTTGCTAGTGGTTAATGATTCCTTGGATGAGAGTCACATAGTAAGAGGCTATATTCGTTTTTTAGACACCAGGATTGGCTCACCTCTCATACCTCCTAATGTGGGATATCCACAAGGAGAAGCAGGTATTTAGAAGAACACATATCATTTGGGGTAGCATGAGGAGAACCCAAAGAAAAGCATCCTTCCCATGAAATAATTTTTGATCCTAGAGCAAGGGTTGGTAGTCTTTACAAAACAGTAAACTATCAAACTACTTTTATTTGGCATTCAACTTACTTGTTCTTTCATCTATTCAGTTAATCAACGGTATTTATTGAACGGCTTGCTAGGCCCTAATATAACATTAATTCGCACCGTTCCTGCCCTTAAGAAGTTTGGAGTCTAGTGACAGTGTTCCTCTACCGCTCAAGGACATAGGCTGTGGTCTGCCCAGCCATGGTGAGCTGTCACATCATTGTCACCAGACTGAGGTAAAAGTCTGGCTGTCTTGGCATGGCACCATGTCACCCTGGACCCTTGCTGAGCCAGGGTCCCATTAAGGAGGTAGAAAGATAGGGGCACTTACATGGTACATCTTAGAGAAGAGCAGGTGGTAAATCTTTTGCAAGGCTTTATAAACTTCTGTAGGGTACTTCTGAACAAGCCAAATAAATGACCCTGTACTTACTAATGACCTGAAATGTTCATTTTTCTGCTTCCTGTGCTTTTTAAGGATCTACCCATTATCCTGAGCTAAAACCTTTTGATCCTTCCTTCTCTCCCCACTCCATCTTGAACAGTATTTCTCATTTAAATTTTCCATTTTATCCTATTTTCTTTCAGTATCTCATTCTCCTCTAAGCTCAGTAGTGGCAGAGCAGAAAAGTCCCATCTATCCCCACGCTTGGTCCCCAACTTCAGGGTCTCCCCTGGGAGAGACTATTAGAGTCCCTAGGGACATGTGGAGAAGAAGGGAAACAGAAGTAACAATCACTAAAGCTACTATACCGTCAAAGGCAAGGTCATGATGACAAAATACCCACAACTCCAAATCTCTAGTCCTAAAACTCCAAAAGTCTGACAAATCAAGAGTTTTCTGAAGTTTATAGCAAACTCCCTGGGTGGCAAAACGGAGCCTGAACTGACATGAGTCTATTTATAGTCTTGTGTTTATCTTGCTTAGTATGAATATTCATGCATTTCATTAAAGAAATATTAATGTGTTTAATTATGAGATGCTGCCACATACCCTGTTGGGGGTGTTATGTAATTTATGGAAAATGCCCCATATTACCTTTCTAAAATTCAAAAGATTCTGAATTCCTAAACGTGTTGGTCTCATGGATTCTTTTTAAGGGGTTGTGGAGCTGTATATTTTCTTCAGTCTTATGATCTAATTTTTATCCCTCATAGAGACAATTTTTTCTTTAATTTTCTTGAGAGTACAAAGCAGAATCTTTCTGAAACTCTCTTTGCTTCTTAACCACATATACTTTCTCCCACAACACCCCAAATTAGGTTTTATTTCATGTGTACTATGCTTAGCACCTTAGGCTTTTTCTGTAATTTAAAAAAAAAGTCCCTATGTATTTTTTTATCTTGTCTTTTTTTTTTAACAGCTTTATTGAGGCATAATTTACATATTATAAAATTCACTTGTTTTGAGCCTACAGTTCAATGACTTTTAGTCAATTTACAGAGTTGTGGGATCATCACAATCTAATTGTAGGACATTCCCATCACCCCGCAAAGAAAACTCCCACCCATTTGTAGTCCCTCCCGTTCCCAGGCAAACCCTAACCTACTTTTTGTCTATATTTTGAGACCATGCTCTATGCCAGCCACAGTGCAAACAATCTTTTTGAGGAAACTGAGGCTCAAGTAACCAGTAAAGGATGAAGTTAGGATTTGATGCAGATCCTCCTGACTCTAGAGTCCATGATCTCTCCAGGGCTTCCAGAGGAGGTTAAGATTGACCACTTGCTGGACAGGATCAGAAACAATGGTGGCCCAGGCATGGATATTGGAGAGAGGAGTGACCACCAGCAGGGTGGTGAACTGGATGACCTTTAGGCTTCAGCCAGTTCTGAGCTTCTGTGATTCTATAAATCCATAAAATGCCTCCAACTAAGCCAGGGACTTATTTTAATGAATAGATAAGAATGATGTGTCATGAACAGACTAATTGCATATAAAAGGAACGCTTCTGAAGTGCACAGTGTGTTCCCTTAAGCACTTTAAATGCCCCCCAGAGATGCTGTTTGCAGTCATAATTTGCATTATCAATGAAGAGGCAGTTTGCCAAGCAAAGGGGAGCATCAGCCTCACCATGATTCAAGTCACCACACATTCCAACGTATTGATGTCCAAATTAATGAAACCTTTTGATAGATTTCTTTTCTCAGCTTTTAAAATTTAAAGGTGTTACTTCTGATGTAATCAGAGTGGTATGCTGGTGTTGGAGCTACGTAAGACTAGTTGATAGATGAAATACTTGGTACTGTAATTGAGGAAACATCTATTATGTTGTTGCTGTTGTTGTTATTATTACTAAGAATTAACTTCCTCTCTGTCCACTAAAAGAAGTCCATTCTCAAAGCCAGCCAGCCTCCAGCCCTCTCAGCCCTCCTTCCTGCATTATACCTGCTCTGTGATCCAGACTGTTACCTTCTCCTCCCATCTCCCCCAGATTTCAGAGGCTATGTGTGTTTTCTGTACCCTCTGCCTGAGCAAAGGCTAGGTCTAGGAAAAGACTTACAACCAGTTACTTATGCCTTGGTATGATATTTGGATCACTAAAATCTCCAAATAGAGATTCCAGACCCATGCGTTTTAAACTCTGTGACAATTTTGGAATAAAAGATCATTTGAGCCCTGGTAAAGATATTCAGTGCACAGACAAGAATTTTGTAATCCATCGACTTTTCTGGGTACTTCTAAAATTTTATTGCACATTGTTAAAAGATAAACTTGAGGCGTATTAAAATTGTTAAGGGTTTGTTTGAGCAAAAAAAAATCAGTTTGAATTGGCCAGCATCCAATCCAGTAGATAGAAAGAAGCTCTGAGGAGCTATATAGAATGAAAGACTTTTGGCAGAAGGGAGTGGGAAAAAGGAAGAAATAATGGACAAAAAGCAGGTTGGTTATTGGAAAGTTACTTTCCTTTAGGGGATGACAGACGTCTTATCAGGCAGATTAGCTCACTAGTGCTGATCAGGTGTTTCCTGATTGACTGGTTTAAGATTTCATTTCTGGGAGAGCTGAAACTATAATTAGGTTAAATCTTGGTTTGGTGACATGGGGCTTAGCATAAGCAACTCCATTTTGGGCCTGTTGTCTTATTTTTAACAACTCCTTTGATTAGACTTTTAGCCTAACTGAGAGATGTGGTCAAAATTGAAGGCATTAGCACTACTCCCAGCTACCACTCTGGAGTTCTTACAGTTTTTTGCTTAATCTCTGTGTGATATTCACAGGATATGGTGTCTTTTTGCTGAATCTCTTTGTGGCGTTCATAGATCACAACACCACATTCACATGCTTTAAGTTGATCATTCTCCTTATTCTTTTCTGATGTTCTGGTCTTAGGGAGATCATTTGTTTGGTGGTTAGTGGCCGCAAACATTCATTTTAAAACTTCTGAGAGAATAAAATGTGCCAGGGAGACTACTATGATTATTATAAGCAGGATAATTCCCAATGTCTGGAGAGTACTTCAGAGCCATGGCCCCCAAGACCCAATCCAATCAGAATCAAATAAGTCAAAGGAAGACCTCATTGAAGGAGTCACTTTCTTAAGCCAAATGGTTTATTCAGTGATCTAATGTAAGTGGAGTCTCAACTTCCGCAGAAGTGTCAATCCAAGTGCAGCAAATGGTGTTGGCCAAAGCACAAACACCACTCTGCTCAGGTAAAAAATAATCAAGGGCTATCCTATTATCAAGAACAACTTTGCCCAGAGAGTCAGGGTTTTCACTGGGCAGCTATTGCTTTAGCAGCAAATTCTACAATATCTTCAAGAGTTAAGAAGAGGTTCCTGACCATAGCCTCATTTGTACATAGTCCTATCCAGGACAGTAAGGATCTGCCAGAGGAAGCATACTTTGAATCATGAATGACTCCTGGTAATTCCCATTTGAGCCTGTGGCTCAGGAATGGAAAGGTGATAGCCATGGAGGCCAGTAAAATTCAAGGGTCTATAGACTGCACAGGTGGTTTTATTCTGGTTACCCTTGCCTTGTGTCCCTTTCTTTGTGCAGGGTTAGATACAAGGTTGCTAACCAGAGACAGGGAAGTTGGCCTCCAGGGTTTTGGGTCCTGCCCCGGAGAGAGGGCTGAGTTTTTTTCCAAAGACACTGAGGTATTGGAAATCAGGGAGGAGTTTGTGAAAGGAATAACTATAGGCTCACCA